CAAGATTAATTCGATGACGCAGTCATGGAAAGTTGCATATTTGAGGCACAAAGAAAGTTCATTCAGAAACATCGCTCATTTGTCAACGTGAACTGCTTAAGCAGACATGTTCGAGCTATTTAGTTTCTTGTCAACATATTAACAACCACAAAGACAATAAAGAGATAGCTTTTTGTCTTTGTAGAGAGAGATAACGACACAAGAAGGTAATTTAAACTTTTAAATGATATTTTGATGCCTCACAATGAATTGGCTAGGTCAATTGAGACGTTAAAATGAAAAGTTACGGAAAACGCGATAAATGTCACTAAGCAAAGACATTTAATACAAGTTGATAGTTGCTCCCATTTTTACGCTTCGCTGGGTCTTCGCTTCGAGACTTAACCATAATATTTTTATTATTTATTGTATATCTTGGTAAAAAACATTGTCTAGTAATAAATTGTTAGTATTCGTAATAATGAGTTTGGTAGTCGTGTTGTAGCTATAAAATGCAACTTTGTACGCCCCTTGTCAATAGACACAACTGATATTTTTGTTGAGTTTAAATAATTTTAAACCTTTTTAGTTATTACTAACTCGAAAATCAACTACTTATAACACACACTAATTACAAAAAATAAAACTAACCTTTGACGTATAATGATTGTTTACTTGAGTATTAAATTATAATCTTTTGATCACACGTCATAAATGACGTCTATGTTGGAAAAGCCAAATATATTCAACAATATTACCATACGGTCAGGTGTTGAAGTCGTGGTAGTCGTTAATTAATATACAAAGTATGGCTGATCGTTTTTGATATAATTACTTAGTTATATCCGGCTAGCTTGAACACAGTTATGTGTTATAATCACAACAAACACACAAAGAGATCAGCTCTTAGTATCTATCGGAACTGTATGGTTAAGTGTATAAAATGTATAGATGTAGCTAAACATTATTTTCGATGTAATAATTGTATATTTTCAGATTTTTAAGAACAAAAGAAGTTTTTTTATTAATGTTATTAATATTAATGGCCAATTACTTTCGTCAGGAAGGATGTAGGCAATTATCGATGTAAGAACAAATTATTCCAACCGATTAATACCCCGATAATGCAGTTCTTGACACAGTTTAATTGAATAGACAGATAATTCGATGTTCTGCACAATGTCTCTGTCAAGGAGCTATCTGTGCTTTATAGTTTATGTTATGATTGCTTTTTAATCTGTCGACCTAATTTCGGGTGACCTTTGGTTGTGAGATGTTCTGTGGTCATGAGTACATTGTAATTAATATAAATGAATGGAATAATACAGATTGAAAATTAATTTCATTGTTATAAATAGCAATTGGTCCAAATTCTCTAGTCGTTGAATCTGATCCGATCTACCTCGGTAGTTTATAACCGTAGATACTAGTTGATTGTAATTATTTTTTAGTATCCACCAAGGTTCAGACAAGGTAAGGTTTTCCGTTTTCTACGAATCAAATTACCTCCCGTATCGGATTATTTTCTGTTGCAAGATCAAATAGTAAGATTTTAAGTACACGATAAACTTGAAGACAAGAAGGATTGATTAAATTAATTTCATTATTTATTACTATAATTATGATTTTAAATATACCAAACCAAAAAAGAGACTGTATAACTATTCCTTCCCGTGAATTGATACGATATTAAATTATCAGTTATTTATCATCTGCGGGAAATCCAATCAGTAGAGTAAAAAACAAGATGTTTTCCATGTTAGAGTAGTCTGCGGTGGGCGGGTTTCTGACTAAATGTGACGTACAATACCGGAATAGAATAGGTTTAAATGTATAAAAATTTATTTTACTATTTAAATTTTACAATATTTAATTGAATTAGTAAATACTTGAAGCTTTCAGGAATTAAAACCCGATTTTAAAACGAAGCAATATAGGTATAGCCTTTTGAAGAATGGATGTATCTTTTTTTTTTGAATACCTGCTTACTTATAGATGAGATATGTATCGTGATCGATTTCGCATTGACCAAAACTCACAATTATACAAAAATATGCATAGTATGACGCTATTAGTCGAAACAGGTTTGCGAATCTCTTATCTGTACTAAATTGACAATAATTGAGTCATGATTTGACACTAAATAGTTTAACAAATTTCACACATTAGACATTATTTATGTTACTTATTTGCAGACCACGTGAATAGCTTACGAATTTGAGATTTCATTCTTACTCAGCTATATCAATACATATAGTTGGTGCGTCATTGAGAAAACAGTTGTCTTCAAAAGATCAGTGTTCACTTTAACACAAACATGGTGGAATTTTTCTGGTTATAATTTTTCGTGGTATCTTAGAAAAGATAGATAAAAAAAGAAATCGAAGATGATAACCTTCGATTTCTATGAAAACATCTGAAAAAGTCGTGGGGCTAAATCGCGTTTCAGTCAGTCAGTAGATTTCCGAATAACCAAAGCCGAAATAGGTAAGCAGTAGTTATTTCTTGATGCATTGTAACGGATGCAATAGTTAAACCAGTCGGTACAATTGAAAACTAGAATCTAGGGTCAGATCATGAGTCACAACCATGTGGAAACTTTATCAGGGTTCAAAGACCGCATAGAAAGCGGTCAAACACATTTACTTATATTATTATGTCACTGGATGTATAACTAACTGCATATCGATCTTTAATCTTAGTATTATGTTTATGAGTTCTACTATTTGCGTATTAACGTATTTTACAATATACTACATTCCTTCACATTCAGGCAAACCTCATACAGGAGAAGATATTTAGGTATTAGTATTATTTACTATTACTTAATTGTTATATTTAAGTAGTTGCCCGCTGGTATTCACAAGTCTCTTTAAGATTTGCAGATTTTTGGACCTTTAAAAATTTTGTTAAAACAAGCGCAGCCGTTTTCGAGCGGTGAATGGTCTAATTAACACTCTCTGCCGCTCTACCGTTCACTACGCGGTCAAGTATTCGCTTGGCCCGTTCCGCGTTTGGCCAATTGTTTGCAATGGTCTTGTAATTACAATGTAGATAACACAGTGTGGCATTGACTTAAGCGTACACAATCGCAACAATTGTTTGATACCGATAATCTGTGTGCTTTTTATTTGAATATCACTCGTTTAGAAATAATAGAATCTAAGGCGTTGAACCCACCACGCTGCTCCGGTGCGGGTTGGTGGGTTTCAACGACTACCTCCGCTAAATTAGTGTTGATAATCGGAACGGAATGGTGCTCCCGAGACAATGTTAACATTTCATGCTTCCAAATTACCTAATTTTTTTTTTTGGTAATTCCTAATACCGTTCTAACATTAGATGCCGCGACTTCGTATTTTACACTTAAGACGCTAACCACTAGATTAATGAGACGGTTAATCAGCTCTATATTACTTTGTAGCGTTTAGATATATTTTTTATTCCATATTTCACGTGGGGTAACACTGCAGGTCGAATTATAAATGAGGAAGGTATATAATATAATCAATGTAGTTGACGTTTGACGCACTGAAAAACTCTCCAATTTTTGAGTTAATCCCATCAAAACATTAGGCCATAAAAAATACACTTAATTGACCAAAAACGATTACAATAAGCAATTTTCATACAGCGTATTTGACAATATTAAACTATACTCAAGGCGACTACAATTTAGATTTGTATTGCAAAAATGCTCATTAAATTGTATTCATTCTTCCTACAAACTCTAATAAGTGCATAAGAAGCAATTTATAACTCTTCAATGTTGTAAATGCTAATTTGTCTTAAAATTACTATTTCGAAGTAAAAAAGATATAATACCTAGCTAGTTAATTAATGTCTGCCTTCGTAATTTTTCGCAGTTATTCAAATATAATTAGGCTAATTTACTTGTCAATGCCTTTATTGCCGTTTGAACTAAATAAAAAGTAGGTACCTTTATTTTAGATAGAGAGGTATAAATTAGGCATGTTATATTTTTGCATGATTATAGGTTATTTGATATCGTTTGAAAACATTGTACCTAAATAGAATTAGAAAAAAAAAGAAATTAGCTCTATCTTTAAAATATCCTGTTTTTAAAGTACCTAGAAGCTTTACCTAAACTGAGAGATAATAATGTAGTTCTTTGAAGAGTTAACTACAATAGAACCCCTAGTTCAGATTTTATCATTTTCCGTTTTTAATATTATATTACAAAGATATTGTGAACTAAAAGGTAAGTTGATTTAATTACTTTCTTTAGGAGTACTTATGAAAGTACTCCTAAAGAAAGTAAGTAAAAAGGTACTTTACCTACCTTATTACAGTACCTATATGATATTCCGGAATTCGAATCCAGAGCTTTCATGTTTTGTCACATTATACCAAATACCTAATTATGGAATAAGTAAATGTTATGTGGATTAAGTGATATTCGCTTTTTTTATAATCGGATTGTATTAATTCGGTTTCAATTATATTTATTTGTATTAAAAAAATATAATTACAGTGCGGCTTCTATCAAAATATTTTATGGTTGCAATTAACTCGTAAAAATTCTTGACAAAACGATAACTTTTTTTTATTTTATGTGTTATTAAAAGTACTCTAAATAATTTGTAATTAAAATTGAAGTATTTCGAGTGAATGCAAGTGATAGGTATATTAACTATGTCAAAATAAAATTGCCATAAGATCGCTTAAGCGACCTTCCCACCGTGTTGAAATACATTGCGGCATTAAGCCATTATTTTTTCGTACTTGTATACCTCTTTGTTACCGATAGGCCAGGTAGACAGCATGACCGGTAAAGCTAATAATAATATAGGTCTTGGCATTATTCCAAACGGCTCACAAACATTTGACAGTTTCACCTAATTTATTGAAACGAAATATAAGAATACGCGTTCTGTGTCTATGAAAACGCAGCCTTGATTAAGTTTGTGTTATGAAGCCACAGAATACAGAATAAACAGTATAACTGTCAAATGCTTTGAGCTAGGATCCAGTTGTAAAGATTTAAGTTGTTAACTTACCGATTCGATATCGTCCTCAATCCGGGCCGTCGGCAGAACACCAGTAGGGACAGCGAGTTGCCTGCGGTTGATACCAAAAACAGCGTAAGGAGTAACACCTCCTCGACGAGCTGCTCTTTAGATTCCATCCCCTCGGTCAACGCTCATCCAACTGGCAAGACAGTAAATTGTTCCATAAACTCATCACTAACACTAGCACGCAACACTCTCAGTTTTTTTCAAGTTACTGCAGTAATCGCGTTAAGTTTTGAGAACACGCTTCACCGTTGCGATAGCGTCTTTCTCGGATGGCTGTCGGATGACAACTGATCGCAACTCGGCTTCATTCTTGCCGTGTTGCCGCCTCGAACTTGTTTCAAGGGATTAAGCAATAAAAGCGCTGCATTGTTCATCCCGCTTGATTTGCAATGGTCGTGCCTGCCTGCTTCCTTATGCTTTGAAAGTCGATAGACCAAATAAAAAATACACATACACCGACTCCTCTCTAATATAATTTGTATTTAATAAATTTACATTATATCACTCTACTAAGTGGGCAGTACTCTTCAATAACAACATTTTGTAAAAAGACTTATCACCTAATAGATAAGGTATAGAGAATTTTATATGACATACAAGCGTTTTACGAATATATGACATTAGATAAATACGAATTTAGAAGCGACTGTCTATCTAGAAAGGCTAAATTAAAATCCTTGAGCTACATTTTAATTACTTACTCGTAATTATTAAACTAAGCCTCAAAACGAAATTAACTCTGTTTTTATAGTCAGCTACTTTTTATAAATTATGTGTTAACGGAAACTTAATTTTTCATTGTGTGTTTATATAAATGTATATGCTTCATACTTCCGTCCTGTTAAGTGCGTCAAAGTAACGACTGCTACATTACTTATTTTGCTATAATTTAAACGTCTTCTCCACAGTCTATCAACTAATATAAAGGGAAGAAAATTTATTCGTATTCCTTAAACTAAATGGCTTGGTGTCTTATCGTGTTGCAATATTGCCATTGTTTGAGAATTTTTGTTTACTTTAGTTACATAAACATACCGTAAATGATTTTCGTATAATCCAATTAATGTTCAAACACTGATTTTGCTAATTCATTCGTAAGTAAATGCATTGTAAATAACACATAATACGACAAAAACAGCGCTGCAGAGCTTAAATTCATTCTTAAACTTGCATATAGTAGAATACAATTCCATCTAGCGCTTCAAGCGTTACATTGGTTAAAAGTATTCCGCGAGTCGGTAACGAACCCGCGTCTCATTCCACTTGTGGAACACATTCCGAAAGTTCCACAGATGCATGCATGTGTTTGAATTTGAACCGTTAAAATCTAAATATATACCAGCCCTCTGCCCTAAATACTCCATGTACATTGCTGTTTCGAGAATTACTTATAAATTGTTCACCAGTTGTTCTAATCGAGTTAACTTGAGATATGTATGATTTTAAATTTGCTAGTTATACACGTATCACAGAAAGACAAAACTTATCAATCTTTGAATTATATTAGGAAGCTTTTTTAAAATAATAATTGTTCGGCAATCTACACAGGATAGATATTTCGATTAATTATAAAAAATGTCGTTATTTATATTTATTTTATGAATTATAGCTTTATTATTTATAATACCACAAAAACAAAAACCACAAGAGACACAATTTACGTACTAACTTATTAGTAACTTAAATGGAAGGCGGCCTTATCGCTAAGCAGCGGTCTTTTCAGGCAACCTTTATTATTATTTAGTTACAAGGAACAGTAGCAAAGACATCCTAGGTTTACTAATTATCAAGACTTTAATTGTAGCTGTGTATTTTCACATAATTTAATCTAAACAGCGCAGACTAGAAAATACCGCTAGTCCATTTCTTTCTTGTTTATGTAGCTCTATTTCTATTATCTCTGACCTATGTCGGTATCGGAAGATCATTGTAGTCCTACTATACGACATTATTGAACTTAGTGTTTACCTGGACTTTTGACGTCACACGGGCTTCTCAGAATGTAGGTATTAAAGACGACGCTTTACTAAATACGAGTTAGGAGATGACGCATTGTCTACAGTTTAGTTCTGACATACCGGTTCCCTCACGATGTTTCCCTGACCACGAAGCACGTGTGAGCAAGAAGATACAGAAATAATTATGACTACTATATTTGGCCAAAGCCATGAAGCATTGGATAAGTAGTATCCGTATTACACGAGTACTACTATTAAATTACCCATTTAACGGTTTAAATTTTGAAATATATGAGTTGATTAATTTACAATTTCAAAACAAATTTACAAAACACTTTCAACGGTTAAAAAGCAAACTGTATTACTTAACTTATTTATATTTTTTTATGATAAAGATGAACAGACAAGCGATAAATCTATATGGGGGTTGATGGTAGGTGAAACATCCCAGTCACATAACATATAAACATAGTCAAGTAGGGCTGAAGATGGATGGTATCCCTAATGTCAAAATAAAGATAGTGTTTACTTTGACGATTTAACTTAATTTTAACATGTCCCAATCTTTGATAGATATACAATTGTTTACATAGAAAAGTTTATTAATAAGTCATTTCTGTTCAACTAAGCAAATATAAGTAACTTAATGGGTTTTTATCGTAAGTACCCATATAGGTACGTTATAAAACCTACTTATAAAAGATTATTTTTGTGTTATTCATACCTACTTAAGTAATTAGAGGAACATTCAAAATGGTTTCTTAAATAATAATTTTCGACATAGGATAATAATGAGATTAGTATTAATAAAGCATTTGTAAAAAGCTCAACTTAAATCTTATCTGTTCGACTAATTAATTACCTTATCAGAATCGGGGATAATCTTTTGAATGAATAAGGTTTTTGGTTTTTATAATTACCTTTCGAATAAAAATGAATTCATTCAGAAGTTTTCGTCTGTACCGAAACACCAATCATAGGTCGTGACTTCATTCGTGGGTAATGTTTGAGTGTAGGTACGTATGTGTATTTTGGTGGAATGTTTAAACACACAATTTTAAAACACAGTTGTAAGTGTAACAGAAAAATCCATCAAAAAGTAAATTCATTCGATCAGTTAATTTTTATCGAAATAAGTATCCATAAAGATTAATTTAAAAAGGGAATAAAATTGTGTTTTTGATACATAAAAGGGAGCCACTTTAATTATGAACTAAATTCTTAATTCCGTTAATACAATTTCCTTATTAATCCGTCTTGGCTATTGTCCAAAATAATTTATCGTTACAACAGCAACATCAACATATTAAGAAAATTAATTTCTAATGGAAATTTACGAAGCAGACTGAATAATTATGACTGTAATAAGCACGATACAAAATAAAGGGTTGATAATGAGCATTTTTTTAAAATACATATTTATAATCTTAAAGATATGTCCATTTGTAGGACTGTTATTTTGATGTATAGTATACCTACTGTAAATTTGTATACGGACCTCTGGATAGGCTAAGTACGGGTCGTGGGTAAGTAAGTAAGTACCCAACTTCCTACCCATTATTAGGAGGTTAATTTTCCTTTCCGATCTTAATTTGAAAAAATATGTACTAGGCCAGCATAAACAATCAGGTTATTTGATCAGACTATAACATGGATCATCTTTTCAGATAACATAACGTATTTTGGCTATATCACGTTTTAGACTCGTGTAATTTGTGCCAAACTTTAGTCTGATCCTTTTGTAGCAAGAGATTAATATAGTCGACATGTATGATGAGTAAGTAACACTATTACGCACGTCACGTTTTCATAGTTAACTAGCTGTGTCAGCGACTTCGTCTGCGAAGAATAGTTATTTTGGGCATCCAAAATTGGTTTTTGCGCCGTTGTTCATTTTTGCGGGGAACGCATCGGAAACCCACAATGATATATATTTTTCCAATTTTTTTCATATCCCACCGTTTCTTCGTTCCTATTACTCATAGCATGATGCATTTCTGTTCCCTGCTGACCAAAAGAATTTGATCAGTTTCCTCGAGAGTCGAACGTTTAGGCGTTTAACAAAATGGAATTATAAATTCAAATTACATTTAATATACATTCGTGCTTTGCGGGGATTTTCCTAAATGCAAGTTAGAGTTAGTCACAATATCGACTGAAACTTTTGGAAAGTTTAGTTTAAAAATCTCCCATAGTATAGCTAACTTAAGCAAATTCTTCAGGTAGAAGGTACAGAATGACTCTTAATTCTAAAGTTGGCGTCTATGAATCAGGTTTTTATCTATTTTTCAGTTATTATTGCCACTTTTTTATCTCTTCAAAATCCTGTTTTCACAGTCTTAAATTCGGTTATCTATTGCGCAATTTTACTTTTTCAGGTGTAATGAGATGGGATTTTTCATCCGTCTATATTCAAATCATATTTATCAAAAATTACTTTCAATATGTGTTATAATTTTTTTTATCAGTATGAGTCAAGCCGTTTAACCGTGAAATATCTTAACAAACTTTCATATTACTAATATTAGAAGGTTTAACACGTGGAATTTGCTTCGAACTCGATTTTCCTGTGTTTTCTGTCTTCATTTAGCATTGAGACGAATGGAAATTGCGTTACGTATCGAGCGCCAAGATTTGAGCATGAATCAAATTCATTCATAAGCAACATATAGTACTTTATATTTATGTCGTAAGTGTTAAATTGTCAGTCTCATATCTCTTAATATTAAATACATTAAAGCTAGTACAGTTAATGAATACTGATTTGACATAGCATTAACTACATTTAATCGTTTATTCCTATATCTGTAAAACGAGACGAAAAGATTGTTGATCGTTGATCTAATGGTAATGTTAATACACAATGGTTCATGGGTTTGATGGGCGCTGGGCCACTGGGCCATGTTTCCAAGCAATATATAACTTTCCAGAAACATTTTGGACTTCGTCAGGAAAATACAAAATAGGTTGGAATATTGACAGTCTAGTGATACGATTCCTTCGAATTTAATTAATATTGATAAATCTCTCGTTTTGTATGAAGACCGACGATCTGTGTTTTTCAAAATAAGTACATAATAATTACGATAGATGACGTGATATTTAGGCATTTTATTTTATAATATCGTGTTGTACTCGATTAAAAACTAAGT